ATTCTCCATTTATTGATAGTTTACAATTTGTCCTACATTCGATTTTTTTCACTTTCACGCTATCATTCAGTTATCTGCCCGTGCAGATCATGAGATGTTGTTAGAATAAAGTGCTCTCTCTATATATATTTATCACTGTAAATATACTTTGGTCAAATTTTCAGAATTAACTTAGTTTGAAGTGTTTCATCACATCACACGCACAAAAATGCAGAAAACTACATGGTACCCTGAAGGATTTTCCAGAAAATCACTAAACGTCTTCAGGTCAAATGTCCGTACCAAAGCAACTTTTAATGCTCTTAAACTATACAGCAGGCGAAACTGAGTGAGTTTTAATGTTTTGAAGCAATTTGATTGAAAAACAAAAGTGCTATAAGGTTTTTATTTTAGTGTAGTCACAGGAAAAATCGTGTTTTGCAGTTTTCTTAATCCGAACAACAAAACAAACATTGCCACACCAATCAGTCTGTCAAATAGCCTATGGCCGTGTGTTTTTGAGGTTCCTACAACTCCGGTTTTGCCGATAGGTATGTCCTCGAAGATTACCCGTAGCATTCGAACCGTGGTGCTTGGAGGTGTGGGACTTGCTCCAGGTTATAGAGCGATATCTGCTCTATACCCACATATGTTCTGGAAAGCTATTATTTGCAGACTCTGTTTTTCGGGGCTTGTAGAAACTTGCTCGAAAGCCACGAAAAATCATCTGTAGGATCGAAAGCGATACAGGTTCTGAAAGTAGACACTTCAGGCTATCTTTCGATGTGCTTATCTCAAAAACGATTTTTTGACAGAGAATTATCATTTTGGAGAAGCGACGAGAATGAACGCTACTGTAAATTTCTTTTCTTTTCTGTCTGTTTCAAATTAGTAGCCGACGTGTGTTTTTCGTTCCTATTTCAGAACACGTCCATAGAAATACATGGAGATCGCAATGCAGTTGAAAAAAGGTCTTTTTGCTTACAAAGTTCAATGAAACCTTCAAAATTTTAATAAAAATACCCAGAAGAGTCCGCCGAATCAAACATTATAACTTTTCGCAGAAAGATATTACTTTTTCGTGCACTTCGTGATATCGAAACGATTGCTCAAACTCGCCTTATCAATAATCCTAACGATGGCGATTCGTTGTTTGTTCTAGCTATCGGTGACAAAAAAAAGACCGGTCTTCATCCCATTAAATTTTTAGAGAGTTGCGTCAGTCTCCATCCCAAGGATGCTGACTTTCATTTCTTGCTAGCCGATGCCTACCAGGAAATTGGACAATACGATCGATGTCTGTCAGCGTGTAACCGTGCTGTTTTGCTGAATTCAATAAATATTGTCATCTCATTCGAATATGCTCGACGGTAGTACGGAGAAAATAAAGGTCTGTTGTCATTGTGGTAAAGTAAAACCATCGAAGCGATGCATATGTGGATTAGCTAGCTACTGCGATGCCAAGTGCCAGAAAACCCATTGGTCTAAGCACAAGTTGATTGGTGTGTACAAGAAGAAAAACTAAGTAGATACATATTTCATTTGATTCATCTCATTCGTAAGCATTGTCATCTTACATTTGAATAAAGTCGAAGAACAACTTTGTAGTAAAAGACAGGATGGAGTAATTCAGCATGGCAGAAAGTCATGTGAAGCAGCCAAATCACTTTCTGTGACACGGTCTCTGACGCAACAGACATTACGTCGGAGCTGGACTTGATGGCTATACGTCCACAGAGCAGTGAGATTGTCAACTTCAGGAGCGATTAAACATGAATCGCCGACTGGCTTTTCGATAATAATTAGAGACAACACTAAGGGTGGTGACTTAGGCTTAACTGAAACTTAAATTAACGAAATTCACTCTTTTCACCTTGGTAAATATCCCAGTAAACTCAGTATCCTGCTAGCCGTGCCGGTGCGCTTTCTCATACTTTCCTAATTAATGCCTGTGTCAGACATCAGAAGAAAGGATGAGGGCGGATAAGGCCATTTTCTAATCAGAACGGATTGATGATTTTTCTGTTGGAATCAAGTCTGGGCTAGATCCCGATCATATTTCATGCGTCAATTTCCCAAAAGTTGACGTCAATATATTTGGTGCCTGGGCCAGAATTCAAATTGTCACTACGCACTGTCATGCCTTCCCCCCTTTTATATTCTCTCTACAAATTGGTCGATGCTGGTCCAATTCTACGAGAATTCACTACATATTCTCTATCTCATTGAGATACATTCCACGAATTGGCAGATTCTGTTCAATTCTGCAGTAATTCTTATCAGGTTCCAGAGAGATCAGAACTCGAATTTTATTAGAATGTGATCAGAATCCAAACAGTAGTAATTATTGAATCTGTGAAGTTCTGTCAATTCTAGAAATTTCCATAGAATTCTGGAATTTGACATTGCTAATAAAGTGTATTATTACCATCTTTAAACAGCCGTTGTTTAAAGATGGTGATAATACACTTTATTACGAGCTATTAGTTTGTTGTCCGCAATATTGAAAGTGCTTGAGAGACTAGTATTTGACAGACTTTAAGAGCATGTCACGAGAAATAAGTTATTAAGCCCTCTTCCGTCTGGATTTATTCAGGGCGATTCTGCAGTGAATGAGTTAGTTGATAGAAGCACATACCCTAGTCGACCGATCTTACGGCAATTCTATAGAAATCTTATAAGAATTATATAAGGCAGTCGATGGAAATGTGTAATTTATTAATAAGATTCTTATACGAAGGAATGTAAGAATCTTATAAGATTCCGATAAGAATTCGGCAAGATAGGTTATATAATTATTTTATAAGAGTTCATAAGATTTCAATAAGAATCTTATAGGAAGGATATAGTACGATTTCATCACATTCTTTAGTGGTCAGTACTCTATATTCTATTTTCATACTATAATCTACTGTTTCATTCGTGAATAAAATAATTTTCTTTCTATTTATTTAATTTTTCTACGATAAGACCGTAGTCCCACGTGGACAGTCTCATGACTTGTCCTCACTGCCTACTGCTTGCAGACCAAATTTACTTCCACAAATCTAGCATGTTTTTTTTCTCTCTGGGAGGTTTTTATTAAATATATGTTTAAAATACACGAAAATGAATGAACATTGCTTCAAAATATCAGAAAAAGAAAACAAGGCACACACGTGGTTGAACATAAAAAACCAAACGAATGAACAACATAACAACCTATAAAACACAGCGAGGGAACAAGTACTACAGAATAAATGACCAAATAGACAAAAACAAAGAATAATAATAATATTTGTCGAAAAATAATATAAAAACTTAAATAAATTCTTATACAGGTTTACTCAATCTTGTATTCTTTACGAAATTATTATCGGAGAGAAGAGAGAGGCTGAGGGCCAGGTTTACAGATCATGTTAAAAGTCATCATACTAGTTAACCATTGTCAAAGGGGAGGTGATTCACAAATACGAGAAAAAATCTCGTTACCATCTGAATGTTTTTCCGGGTTTTTTCGAAAAGGACTGCATTTCGAAAATCCCATATCGTTTTAATGAAATTTTCAATTTGGAAAATTATATTTTTACGTTATGCCACAGTGAGATCATATGAGGGGATTTTTTCCATGTAAACGATTTGATTCGTTTCACGCTCAACAGACACATGAGTCCCATCGGCAATCGAGTTCTTGAGCAGGTCATACACTGGCTGAAAAAGGTACACTCGATCCATAGATGGTACCTTGATTCAGGTTGATCACAAAACACACATTATTTTTCCGGATCCGTGGGGGGGGGGGGCCCCCGCCGCGGGGGGGGGGGGGGGGGGGGGGGGGGTTTTTCATCNAATTATTTTTTCGGGACCCGGGCCCCCCCCCCCCCCCCCCTTGCCCGTATGTGTAGTGCGTTGTTCACTAATTATACCCAAATCTCATGTGCATGAGTTGACATTTTGCTCGACAGTAGGAGTCTCAAAAATTTTATATCTTTGAGATGATTCATCCTTCGGTAGCACACTGATAATCGAAAATGATACGTATAAATGAGCTGCCAATAAATGGATAAACCTATTTTTGGGATGATGGATGAGTTTCCATCCATTAACCATTTCACAGTTCTATCCGCTGCTTCGTGAAATAGACTAGTTCCCTGCTGTATATGCGGGACCAGGTTTCACCATAATGAACGATCATAACACTGTAACTGCGTGGAAATGGACTGCAGAGCATAAAATTTCCACTTCGCTGGAGTATTAGACATTAGGCGTAGACCACATTTAATTCTAAATCCTTCTACCATTGTTTTAATATCCATTAAGGCAAATCTTCCATCTACCTTTTTTTCAATTATAGTTTTAAAACTAACTGTGGAGTGTTTTCTGCACCATACGAATGCATTTGCGATATTTTGCAGTTCATTTATGGTGGTTGAGTGGACTGTGATGAGGGAAAAACGGTAGACGATACAACTAAGAGAGAAAACTTTCAATATTATACTTCTCTTTAAATGAGAGAGGCTAATTTGCGACCACATCCCCAAGTTTTGTTTTAAAGACATTTTGAGTTTGTCCTTGGAATGCTGGTGGTGGCAGCTAATCACTAATCCAGAAAACCTCGGTTTTCTTAACATTCGTTTTTCCACCTGATGCCCTGTTGTACAGATCAAACATTTTGATAGTCTCCGTCTCCTCATCTCTGCTGAAGACAATACTATCAATATGGTCCGCATATGCTATTGTTTTTATGGTGCTATCGACTCCGTCATAGGGGAAAGCCTTCCAGACTCCACTATCGGCTGGTTTTTCTCAGTACAGCTCAGTGTAAAAATCAGTGGCTACCGCCAGCATCTCTGATGTTGACTCTACTTTTCCTTTCGTAGGATGTAACAAAAAGGGAATACGAACTTGGCTAGCTTTTGCACTGGCTATAGTTGTTTTTGCGATCAGGCCCAAGTCTTTGACACTTCTTTCATGTTTTCCATTAGTTTTTGCAAGAGCTTTTCTTTCCAAATTTTCACGAATTTGGTTGTGTATGTTATCCATCAAGACAAAATCATCCGGTGATGGGATGGTGCTAAGCGGCGGTAACTCTTTTGTAAACTGAATAATTCGCCTCGGGACTCTTTTACCATCTCATGAGTTTCATCGTGTAATAGCAATGTTAGACTTGTCTTAAAATCTAACCACCATCCTTGGCACTCAAAATCAACTGTTCTGAGAAAGACACTCCAAATATCTTTGAAACGCTCTATAAATGACTTACGAGTTACAACTGCTGAGTTGCATATCCAACGATGATATGAAGATTCACTCGAGGGCATATTAGGCTCATCGGAGGCACTACTATTTAGATACCTTTTCATTGTAGCCTGATTTCCCTTATACAACTGGTATGCGTCTCCAACAAAAGGATGATCCAGAATTGACGTAGACACACCAAGCTGAGATCTAGGAGTACTTGTTACCAATCCACTGCCGCATTGATTACTATCAAGCGTGGTTGGATTTATGTTTGTTTCATTGACAATACCGTCGTGAGGATCATCTGCACCGCCCGGCATATCCGCAGGACTATCATGATTCTCATCGACATTATTGTCTTGATCTTTTTTTCCTTCCTCCATCATTTGAGCCTCTACTTTATCCTGGTTACAAATGGCAACACTTGCATCACTTGAAGCATGCTGCGACGGAGCTGCATTGGATACTATAGGGGACAAGAATGGATTATCATGATTTATTGGTATCTGATCCTGTTGCAGTGCAGTATCTTGTATAGTTACCGAGACCTTTGCAGTTGGTGTCGGCATAAGAACATGTGTATCCGACGTTTGGTGTGCAAGTGCAGAGGCATATTTTCGCTTCACTTGACAGTGAGGATAACTTGGTCTGGATTTGTTTCCGAGACTGATGTCTTTTTTAAAAGATGCGCTGCGAAATTCTCTACAAGATCATACCTAAACTATTATTTCAGAACTTCAATCAAGAAAACTAAGCCAATGAGATGAAAGTCGAAAAAAATGTGAACTTCCTAACCTCAACATTTTATTCGACTTGAACTTTTTCTTCTGCTACTATTTCCGCTAAAAAGTGTACCAAAAGTGAGAACTCAGTTTATGTTTGATCTTTCAAATGTGCTCTTTCTCGTGGTTTGTAAAAGAACTATTTTAGAGCAGATTGTGTGCTCCAGAATGAGGTAACAAAAATACATCAAAAGTTGACAACTTCCCTGTTTCCAACAATGTGCTCAATCAAGTGACGGAAAGGATGATTGATGGTTGATTTTGCAGTTAGATAGAGAAGAGCAATCATTTCTGATCAGAACAAAGCAAACCCGACCGAAAAAGCTTTTATTTTGATGGAGTTATGGGGCTTTTACTGAAAGCACTACTATACCAAAAATTTAAAAAATTAATGAAAAAATGCATGACAACCGATAGAAAAACTAT